ATGATCAGTTCTAGTTAGGGTTGCAAACGCCGTGGCTTAAATATTGGTCTGGCCACCGGCAATTTGCTTGACGCCGTGAATGTCCTGATGAGATGATCCTCCCAAAGGCTTCGCTTCCTGGTTGTCGACAACCGTAAGGGAAGCGAAACCTTCTTAGGGTCCTGATCAACGGTAGCATCACTGCATCGACTCAAGCACCTAACAAGGTTGATGGTCTCCCATCCGTATGCGTAAACGTGAGTCGGGTTGGCCTTTCTCCACGTGACGGATAGTTATCAGGACAGAAATGCCTAGGGCACCATGTCGACCAGTTGAAAAATTCAAAACACTAACCCTAACTTACAACAGATGAAATCAGAGATATCATTCAAATGGAACATCAGTGCTAGGAGACAAAATCAAAACATCGCTTAAGTCATTATTGAAAATCACCTTAAAACCAGGATGTTGATTCAGATGCTGAGCCAATTCCGGCTTTAGAAGACTTTTCCCGCCTTGAATATTGCCTTGAAGCTGAGCTCCGGCGAGGACACTCGAACCATCTTGCATTATGTAAGCCCCAGCTTGATCTATAGGCAGTTCAATAACTTGCCCGGTACTGGGGTCGATTGCTGACACTGTGGACCTATATGACGAAGTGTTAGCATTTGGCGGTACAAAAAATGGCTTATTAACAACATCGAGCGCCGACTTACGCATATGCGCCCACCGACATTCTGAAGCTTGCCGTCCGACAGTAAACCAAATCGAGCGGCAGTAATTAATTCAGACACAACAAACGTAAGCCCCGTGCGGCAGTAAAATACACAGTAGGTTGCAGCCTGGGGACCCGAGGAGTGAATAGAAACAACTAGAATCACTGTAGTCCTCCGATACACCTCGAATATCGTAGAAGAACAATGGGCACACCAGCAATTCTCGTCTTTGTTTCACTGCATCAAAAAACGGATATTTTTCGAAGACATAGCGTTGTCAGTTGATGTATTAAAACAAGATCAATCAAACTAAAATAAAAATGATTGTAAGCGCAGTATTTGACTAATGATTGACGTGAATAACCTTTTTAGTTCCATTCATCATCATTAATTCACTAGAAGAAATTTGCCTACAGGTATCTTTGCTGCATGTTACTTTCAACATTGGAAACACAGAGATTACCCTATAACAAACTTATTATATTGTTGAAGTGTTTTCCTCACCTATAATCAAGTAATAAAAACTGCTTTTTATCGGCTGACTTTATTGAATAATTCCTCATCAATACCTTCGACAAGTTGAGCTATTCCCGCCGTTTTGGATTGTTTTAGACCAATCCAATCCAAATCTCCAAGGCGTAGAGGCCTCGGCCTTATGGTTGTCCTGAGTCTGGTTCGACTTCGTCGGTAGACCTCGTCGGTAGACCGATCAAGCTGCATGTTTCTCCGGCTTACAGCACGGTTGATATTTCCGCGACCGTCCGAGGATGTGAGATTCGCGCCTGTTTTCGGCAAGGCTAAAAACGGGAGGGAACAAACTGTCGTCTCATCCTGTCGGTGAGAGACTTACGTACACGTAAAAGTAAGCGTTCCTGTGTGTACATGCTGAGCATATGCACGAAGTTATGTCAAACGTGAAGGTGGGGAGAAGAAAAAAATGAGCTTATTTCTCTTATGTTTTAGGTCACTTCTGGAAAGGTCTCGGCCCATACCTTATCTAATTCCATCTTAAAGGCTCAATTTGTGTTTAGTTGAACGAGCCTTCCGCAGAGGCGATTCCACAAGTTAAAAACCCTCTAGGTGAAGAAATGTTCGCTCATATCCAACCTCCTATTATTTTCTAGGTGATATTCGTTGCCCCTTAGTTCTCTCGTAGATCCCAGAGGTAGAAGACCTAGATCTGCGTCCTTCTTTTATCTGAAGACTTCGATCAGATCTCCTATTATGAAATGCGTAATTCTCTACAAATTTTGGTTCACGGTTTTATATTTTTCCTGTTTTTCAGTTCCTTCAAAAGTTTTTCCTCCATGGATAACCTGCTATCCGAAATTTCTCCTATCAGTGCATGAGAGAGCGTCTGTGTTCAGCTGCGGTTACGAGTTGGTTTGACACCTCAGAGAGGATTTGAAGCATTCTATTGACGCTTTTGGCAACAGAATCTCAAATCGCGTTTTTCGAAATCCATATTTTGCCATGTTTTATGCATTTGGGGGCATTGGCGATGCAAATGTTGCATGTTGCAGTTCTTTATCCCCCTGAATTAACCTAGGTGATCAGTAAATGTTGAGCTGGTAGTGGCGTGGTATCCCAACTATTAGGATTTCAAAAAGCGATAGATTTGTTCACGTATTTTAGAAAAGGCGATGTAGAATTCAGCCGAAATGGAACAGATTTTGCTTTAAGCTGATTCTGAGTGAGTTGTTAAAATTTAATCTGTTTTAATTAACCTTAATCGACTGTGTCCGGAAAATATAAATACCGCAACCTAATGGCGACGATCACCTCCACGCTCATATCAACCATGGCTCATGTTGACGATAGGTCGTTTTTGAACGAATGGTAAAAAATTGCTATGGATCGTTGGACGGATTCTTGCAGGACTTCCGTGAATTCCAAACAGTTACTTGCACTTCCTTCTACGTTTATGCGTCAATGGCAGCCGAACAACTGATACGGGAGCGAAAATTTGGTCTGAAACTAAATCTGTCTGAGGGCTTTTCGTATTATTTCATCAAATATTGCTGTGTACATTACAGAAGGCGCGGCGCAACTGCAACCAGGTAATTATGCTTATCATTTCTAATGTAATTAACCCATTTTAGGCTGCAGAATATCGATTGTCCGGCATTCGCTGGAATTCGCGCGGTCGGGAGGGAGTACCGAGTGATGAAACGTTGTCTGGTGCACAACCATGACTTCCATGTGGGTCAGCGGGGTTTCTATATAAGTATTTGTCGTCTATCTGGAGAACAGGAAGAGGAAGTGTGTACTTTGATGGACGATTTTNAAAGTTAGGGATATGCTGGAGAATCAGGGAGAGGTTAAAATAGGGCTGAACGAAGGCGTCGTTCGTCAAATTAATTTTGTTCCCAAGATTATGCTGCACTGCGTCGCCAGCTTTAATAATGTTTTGTTAACTGACGCCACACATCAGCTAAATTGTGGCGGGTGCGTGCTTTGGCATGCT